TTGGACTACCATTTTGTTAAACACAAAGCAATTTTTTTTTCTTTTTTACAGTAACAATCCAACGCGTTTACGCAAGAAACCCACATTTTGAAAAATCTCACGTGAGATTGGGCATGGGGGAGGGGGTTGAATAAAATCTCACGACATCTCACCAGGGGGGGGGGCGGGGTACAGAAAATTTATAAAAACACCTCACATAATTTATGGACGCCCCCTAAGTTATGTTTTATAAAGCCATTTATGAGAAATAAACTTACCAGATTTATTGTTTTCGAACGAATATCTGTTGTTCACGTTCGACGTTCTTTGAATTGAAGTGAAGACTTCTCTTTCATGTTCGTATTCCATTCATTCTTACAATAATAGATAATACTCAAATGTTTTATAACAACTTTTTTATTTCAGAGTAAAGATGTAGATTTAAAATGATATCATGTCTTGTTCGTAAATTTATTTGAAATCAATATTCTTCTTATCTTGATGTGCGCCACGTAGTCAGAAATATTTTTAGCGCTACTCCAAGTTATGATTATATTTGTGGAAAAAATAGTAAAGTTACATTCTTTATATGATTGCTAATCAATTTGCCAGAATCTGTTTAACAATTTTCATTGTATTTAAACCAAACCTTTTCATAAAACGGAACAACCTGTTTTCAATATCAGATGAACTGCCACTATGCACAAATGTTATGGCACTATAACTATGCATATGGTTTGTGTCGCAAAGGTCACGTTTGGGTTTCAAGTTACCTGTTCAAGTATTATTCTCGGCCTGTTCATGTTGCGTTAAAAAACTGTAGTGAACAAAACACGTAACCATATAGATAACCCGACTCCTTTTGTTAGAGACGCGCCCTAGCCTTGCGGGGGCTTGAAAACCTGTTTCCGATTACTTATAACCAGACAACAAAAGCTTTGAATTGCTTACGCTGTACTCTTGCTATCGCAAATAAGAGCACGATGCACATAAACTTCATAAATATAAAATCATCACGGGAAAACTCAAGAACAGTTTTCGTGATGCGATTTATTCCTTTGCATTAAATTTGTGTCTGAATAAAAATCTAGTTTGTAAACACTGCAGCGGCTGTTATATTAATTACTATGCTTAGTGTTAAACAAAGTTGTAATGCACAGGAGTTTTTAGCAAGTTATGCGCGAACGTACTTGATGTCATTTTATGAAAAATATTTTAGAATGTAACGAGAAGTACATATCAAGGGAACAATGGTAAAATAAACAAAATAATAACTAAATTCACACGTCAGTGCACACGCGCAGGTTTCGCTTCCTCTTAGTGGTCTGAATGCGCCAGTTTATTGCTGCAATTATCAAAATTATACGTACCATTTTATAGTTTCACCATATATTTAGAAATAAAATTCACCTAAATCGAAATTATCGTTTCGGATTAAATTAAAATATGAGAAGTAAGTAGGTAACTCATTCCTTTAGTATTGAAAATATTTTCTTTATATTATGTACGAATATCACACTTGTAGGGTTTCCGTAAAAATAAAGGTAAATGTCATAACTACGAGGTGCTGCACGTAAGACACAACTTACGTTCGATTACTTCCCTGTTATTTTTGCTGTCTAACTATATTGTCGATGATGTTTGAAGATGATATTTTTATATTTATTTTATATCACGTAATTTGTGCATTTTCGGGTTCCCTGTTATCATGGCCCACTTTTGAATAATCAGGCCAATTTATTTATTCTAAAAGGAAAAGGAAAGCTATAGTCAAAAAAAAAAAAAAAAAAATATATATATATATACGTCCCACTCCTGGGATAAGCCTGCTTTAATTTCTGGGAAGGTTACGGCAATGAATTGCCCACCATGCTGCCCCAATGCATGTTGGTGGATTCCACATATTTTCGAAGAATAAATTTTTTAATTTATTAGACATGCAGGTTTCCTCTCGACGTTTTCCATCACTGCCGAGCTCGCGGTAGATCAACTCTTAAAATTGCAAAAAATTTCATTGAATACAGCGAGGATCGAACCGGGGCTGTTCTCGTACTGTGAATCTACAGCGAGTGCTTAGCCCCTGATCTACCACGGCTTATTTAGTCTATTTTTAATATTTAAGTTTTTGTTATTGTTAAATAATTTTCAAAATTGAACTGTGGATGAAACATGACCATAAACGTAAATAATATATACATACTTATTTTCAAAGTAATTCTCTTTGCAAATAACCTTCATAGGATTTCTCCTTTGAAAGCAATAAAATGCTAATTATAACACATAGAAATGCATCCAATAAACCTTATGCTTTAATTCCTATTCCGTGTTTACTTACGAAGTTTGTTGACTATAATGTTTCTGATATAATCTAAATTCGATATCAAATAAGTTATCGTGTACAAAAGTCTAAAAGTAAGAGCAGCTTGGTGGAAAATACATTATATCTTTACCTTAACTTTTTGCTCTCTCTCTCTCTCTCTCTCTCTCGCTATATTTTTATGACTGTATCGGTATCTATCAATTTGAGTATGTTACCTGTTATGAAAACATACTTATAACAATTCAAAGAGAACGCTTGTGCAATCTCCTATCGCGTGCAAACAGATACCTTATCATCCCTGAACTTTAAGATGAGAACCTAACCTAACCTAACAGCCCGTAATTATACCCGCGCTTTTACTCTTAAAATCTATAAGTCGAACCAGAGTGACCAACATAGCTCAACAGATTAGTAAGCTGAGTGGCTATGGGTCAGCCATATAGCTCGAAGAACCTACAATCGATGGGAAAAATAGGTTCTCATGTGGCAGCCTCGTACCGGTAGGCGAAGTGTTGAAGTGTTTTACTACTACTATAGCCTAATTTGACAACATTGTTAAATATTACTTTTAAAGTAGATAATTGTAGATTAATAGATATGCTGTGGACAATTTAATATAGCGGTTTTAGGGTAATGATGTTTTAATTAGACTTTTAAGTTCGCAAGTTCAAAAACAGATCGTATTACGACATTCGTAGTCCAGTCGAATGTGTATAACAGAAGAAGCACACCGTTTTCCCAGGTGCAACTTGCCCCTAAAAATAAATTACTCTGAAATGTACAAAACGAGTATACAGTATTTAAATTAATCTTTTTAAAATAAGTTGTTTATTGTAATGTATCACATACCAATAGGCACAGATCGTTGATTGATATTTGAGACCAATAGGTCGCGATAAAAAATATATTATTTTAAATGTCCGACAGTTAAAACTTTAAACATGGAAAAACATGTGTTTACACTATATATGCGTCACAGACTATGTAAAGTTCTAAATCGATTGTAATGTTCCAGGAGTAGTTATCACTGATATTAAACCAGCTTATTCAGATATGTACATAGTCATTATATGTATGTTGAATTGCAAGGTTCGGGAGTAAATGCATCTAGTGAATCTGTCTCATTCATAAATGGGTGTTCGGTTTGTATGAGTGAAATAGAAACGTTTGAAGGTTTCGCTATCTACGCCTGGAGCCGCCCGCCCGCCCAGTTGATTTCAGCGCGCTGCCCTATACGCAACGTTTTGTATTTTAAGTCATATTAGTCTGTTTTATTAATACTTTAATGCAATTTCTATAGTATGTTGTTGTTTTAAAAAAAAGATAAATAGTTTTTATAGATCGGTAAGCGATAACATTAATTGTTTTATTGTTATATCACACATACTACTGGAAAATTAGAATTTTTGTAATTCCTTTATTTTTACATAATAAGAAAAAAACTATGAATATAATTAATATTTTAAAGACATGGTTTACAATATTTTTATCATCAGATTTTTTATATATTCCGTAAAGCTTATTATAAATTTTAACTTTATAATATTTTAGAAATTACAAATGGCTATTAATAAAATCATTTTAGGATAAAATAATATATTTTTGTTTTTTATATTTTAATTATTATACTTAGATAACATCACTGTTCCATTGTGTTTCATTTAAATTGAGAAATTTACTAAAGAATGCTTTTAAAAGCTTAAATAATAACATATTTTTAAATGTACTTAATAATGTATTGTATTTTATTATTTGCTTCATGTGTATGTTATAAACTAATAATTACTGCAAAGTATATAACATCACATCAGTTATCTTTTTTCATCATGTTAAATATTTATGTGGACCGTGTTTGGATAAAATTATATCAGTGAAGTTGTGTATTTATAAATAAATAAAAAAATTACATTGATTTCTTTATATCTGTGCTTGAACTAAGGAGCCAGTATAATTAAAGGCACTTAATGTGAGGCATTCCATCTTAGTCCTACGGATGACATAGCTTCTGTAGCCTTTTTTGTTTGAAGTTGGCTGCAGTTGTCCACCCAGTAGACTGCAACAGCCACTAAACATGAGGGGGACTGTAAGTTCGTTTATCACTTAGTTTAAAAAATCATTTTTGTCCAAATAATATACAAGGTACTTAAAAACTATAAGTTAGAGAGATTTTAAGGGAATTCAAAGAAAAATAAATAAAAGTGTAGGGTTTTTCGATTAATATTACTGGCTATCACTCCCCTATCTGATAACGTCTCGCATATACGTGTATATATTATTACTACATTGTTCAGAGGAAAGGGTGACATTTTCCTACGCACGCTCATTCAAGTGAAAACTAAGTTATTCATATTACACCTTTTGAAACATCAGCTTGCGCAAAAATACACTGTGATTAAAAGTTTTTGTAATATCCCACATTTTTATCTTTATATAAATTTTTACGTAACAGTTTTGACATACTATCAATAATATCAGTGTAGACATGTTACTTGTGTAACATAACCCTTCCGTCATAAACCCTGCACGGCATTTCCCCTCGTAATTATTTTGCGATAAGACTAGGGTGTGTTTTTTTTGGGGTAAATTCCAATATTGTTAATTAATGTTATGTATGTTTTCATAATGCATTCCTTTGTAACGACCCAAAAATTCTTCTTCAGCCTTGGTATTATTATATTAAGTTTTTTTTTATTTGTTACAGTTTACGGCATGGGTGGATGCAGTAATCTTCGTATTTAGTCTTGAAAACGAAATAAGTTATAAGACTGTTTCAACCTACTTCAATAAGATGTCACACTATCGTAATTCGGCTGAAATTCCAATAATACTGGTTGGTACTCAAGGTGAGTATATTTAAAATTTCACTTTTACATCGTCATTGGTTATATATATATATATATATATATATATATATATATATATATATATATATATATATATATATATATATATATAAAAAATATAAAATTCAGAAACTTTATTACAAAATCATTGATTAATTCATTAATTTTGGATGACCTCTAAGTCTAACACGTTATTTCTGGTTGCTCTTCCAGATGCCATAAGTGAAAGTAGTCCACGCGTAGTAGACGATAATCGAGCTCGTAAGTTGTCGAATGAATTGCGGAGATGTTCCTACTATGAAACATGCGCGACGTATGGCTTGAACGTAGAACGAGTATTTCAAGATGGTAAGTGTAACGTCACATATATTGTTGTAGTAATCAGCTTAATCATTAATATAGGATGGTAGTTTTAATTTAGAGTATTCTGTGTTTAGAGCTCTGTCGCCTAGTATGTAATTGGTTATTGAAAATAACTGTTTATTTCTCGAATCGAAAAGTTATGACACATCTCGTCAGGTATACCTTAAAACCTGAAAATTAGATTGTACAACCAGTGCGTGTTGCCAGTGACGACTTATGGATCTGAGACGTGGTCCTTCACTGCTGGCCGTATGAGGACGCTCAAGGTCGTTCAGCGAGCTATGGAGAGGGCTATGCTCGGGGTTTCTCTGCCTGTTAAACTTAGAAATGAGGATATCCGTAGTAGAACCAGAGTGACCGACGTAGCCCACCGGATTAGTAAGCTGAAGTGGCAATGGGCCGGCCATATAGCTCGAAGAACCGACAACCGTTGGGGAAAAAAGGTTCTCGTGTGGCAGTCTCGTACAGAAAGGCGTAGTCTAGGGCAACCCCCCACTGGATGGAGGGACGACCTGATAAAACATGCAGGAACTCCATGGATGCGGTGGCTCAGGACCGCGCTTTGTTGCATTCCTTGGGGGAGGCTTATGTTCAGCAGTGGACTTGTGAAGGGCTGTAATGATGATGATGATGAACCGATTATGTTTCTAAAAATAAAAGTAGGAGTAGCTATATTCGTATAATCATTCATTATAACCAATTTAAAATCCACTGCTGAAGGCAGGCTTCCCCATAGAATGTTCCGTAGAGGGGATTTTGCCATAGTTGCCACGCTAGGCAGGCAGTTTTTTAAATATTTTAATTTGTAATCGGCAAGATACTGTTGCACATGTCCTGTTTAATTTCCCTTTCTCGCCTCCTACGACATCCATGGAATAATATTGCCTAGTGGATTTTCTTACGCCTCCACTACACGGCGTATATACGTACATGTAAGTATATTAAGTAATTTTATTTACTAAGTAATGATCTTTTAGTTTCATAAATAGCTATTGGCACGTTTACTCTAGATTTGAAAATATGAGTTTGTCTCTTCTATCGATTTCAAGTATTCCATATTAACTAATATTAAAATAAGCAGTTTTTACACTTTTATTCCGATTTGTTTTTGAAATTGCGGTCAATTACACGACATTTATTTCAGCTATTACAACAAATTGTTAAACTATGTTTGCGTGTAGACTGCGCCGCGTGATGATATGGATGATCGGCGCGGGGAATATAACCGCATGCAGTGGCAACATCGTCTCGTTGCTGTGCGGTCGTTTCGTTCGTTTTCATTCACTCACATTCCCACCCGACTCGCGTTATTGCTTATTGTTTAGTGTTTACATTTTTGACATATCAACGCATGGTTGCGTTAGCTTGCCGCTTTTTGCGAATAAAGTTTTTGCAATTATACTTGATTTCTGAATGGAGATATGGATAAGACACTCATTTTTAACTCAAACTTGTCACCGATATCGAGCCTGAGGCGTCGAAGTTCGTGCTACAACATTCAAAGAGCTGAGGAGCGCGACCGTCGAAAATCTATTAAATTTGAATGTGCGTGAATTTTACCGTTTAAGGCCCGTGTTTCGAATAGAAAATAGTGTACCTGATACTATTCAATGAAGTTGCTTTTGTTTTAAGTGTTTAAAGTGATTTAAAGTGGCTTTTTTTTCTAGCGTGTCAGAGGATTGTCGGTACGAGATTGTCAGCTTCATCACAGTGCCTGGCTGGGTCCAGGCCAGTTACACCGCAGCCTTTAGCAAATTCACCAAGTCACAATCACTCATCCTTTTTATACAAGGTAAGATTATGCCATATTAATGAGATGCATACTGAAATCAAAAAATCTTTCAAGGGGTTGACTTTTAGGTAACCCAATTTTAGACTTATTTTGTCACATTAGTAGTGGTGGTTTTATTATAAATTGATGCAGCAAACTATTTCTTAAATATGAACTTGCTGCTATTGCTGTCTTCAATATTAACAAAAGAAGGTTCCATTGAACAAACACTGTAAAACCTTTACCATTACTGTTATACACTTTCTTAATGTTCATGACTTCTCTATCTTTCATATATATTTACTTACTTTTTTATATTAATAAATTCAAATAACTACCACTTTATCTCTCAGTTTCTGGGCCACATGTATGTACTTCAGAATGTATAGGCTTAGGTTTTAGTAGTAACATAAAGTAAACTAGACAAAAACTGGCACATTGACAAAAAGAAAAATTTAACATGAACTATAACAACACACCAGTCTGTATTGTTGATTAGATTGAGAGTTATCCTCAAGGGTAATCAAATATTCTATCTCAAAGGCCAACAAGTGGGTATGCTTGGAGTTGGATGCTGGTGTATTCCCTTTTTAACCAAACTGTTTTATGTAATTATTCGAGTACAAATGTTCTGTTATTTCATAGTATTTGATAAATACAAATATTTGTATTCGATGAATTACTACTTTTATAGAACACACCTTTCAAAGTGCTAAGTTATATAATTTTAATGTAAAAGGCCTAACCAGAATACATTGTTAATTTCAGGATAGCAAAACATTTTTTAGTTGTTTTCCAAACACTAAAAATAACCTGTGACATTTTTACAATGTCTTGAAAAAACATTTCATATATGCCATATTTATGTCATCATTTTGTTGTTTAACAATGATATGCAAATAGATGTTTAAAACGATACAGAAATAATTTTTCTAGCATTTTCACTACAAAATGAGTTATCATTAGCCATAGGAACTGAGGTGGCCTAAAATAACAAGTTCTCTTTTTATATAAACTGTATTTTTGACAAGAAAAATATCAAAATTCTATCATACTGTGACCAATAATGGACTAATAATGCTATTTTAATATATTTTGTTTTGTTTTTTAAAGCGGCTGCATTATAATTTATAACTTATTTTCTTCTTTTTCTTCATCAGCCCGCAAAAGTCAACAGTTGGGCATGGGCATCCCAAAGTAGTAAGAATTTGCCTTATTTGAATGTTTGGTAGGCAGATTGGCAATTGTAGTACCAGAAGCGTTACTTACACTTTTCATGTGGTAATAAAAACACAATAATAAACATTTTGAGATGTCACTAAATTGAATTAATATTTAATGTGTTATCATTCCTTTTTTAGTTTTACATAAGTCAAACAAGTATTAGTTGATTGTAGTCAAAATTACATTATGATAAAGTGATGGTTTGATTACCATGCCAAAAAAATGAGATAATTTTTTTAAAAAAATATCTAGTTATTTACAGGGGTGTGGATTAAACCACATCCTGCATGGGATAATTAAAATACCTTCTTACTAATTGACTCTAACAATGCCTGTGCATATTTGACCATGCTAATATCCAATCCTGCAAGTTACTATGCAAAACTTACAAATAAATCAAACTGCTAATTTCTCAAATGGTGTCCATAAAAATAATCATACAAATTTTTGAAAATTGATTAAGCATGGTCAAACACTTTTTGTTAGTTCAATATTAAAGCATTACTACATGTTAGCTAGAGAGCCGTGGTAGCTCAGATGGTTAAAGCTCGCTGTAAATGTAACAGAACGTGAGTAACCAGAGTTCGATCCCCACTGGCACCAATGAAATTGTTATTTGCAATGTTAAGTGCTGATTTACCATGTGCTCGTCGGTGAAGGAAAACATTGTGAGGAAATCTGCATGTCTCAGGAATAAGAAAAAAAAATATTTCGAAGACATGCCCAGCAGCGGGACGTATATAAGCTGTAACTTTACTTTTTACTTTTACATGTTAGCGCTGGGGATAAGTCTGCATTGAGTTACACAAGTTTGATTCCTGCTGAAACTTATGTAATCGTAATTTTAAATGCTGAGTTTTCGTAATTTTGAATGTGAGGAAACCTGCATATCATTAACATGAATTTTGGCAATGTGATGAACTCTTTTAATAAATAATTTATTTTATTTATTTATTTAATCTTTATTATACACCTTATAATAAGAGATATAAAGGGCGGACCTAATACTTTATGGCATTCTCTAACAGTCAATAATATAATATTTTTATTTTAAATATATTTTTTTTAAATAATTGACTAACTAATAAAGTTACAGTGGTAAGTGGTTACTGCAAATAAAGATGGTTTACATATGCTTTGTCACCTCTAAGCTCTAAGATGAAAAGTCTAAAAGAAGTAATTATACTGGGTTTCTTTACCCTTCAACAAAGCATTGCTCTAGAAGCAGCTATATTCACTTTATCAATGCTGTAGAAATGCCGTCATTAAGGAGTATGCTATGGCTAAATCTGAATGACAGGTTGAGAAATTGTGTAATAAGTGAAAAGTGTGGGTCGCAACATGATGTTGCGACCAGGATTAACAAAGCAATGCTTCGGTGGTTTGGTCATGTAAAAAGAATGAACAAGGAAAAAGTGACAAAGCAAAGCAGCAAAGTCAGGAAGGGACATCCTAGATAAAGGTTTATGTATCAAATTAGCGATATATTGAAAATGGGCCATATTAGGAGTACCCTTAACTGACGAGCGACGATAGATATATGGATGTAAACATCCATATATCTATATGGATGTAAAGGCGAGAGAGGTTTGCCAGGATCATGCCAAATGGAAGTTATTAATCTCTGCCTACTCCTCTGGGTGACAGGCTTGAGTGTTTATATATGTATGTCATTTAATGTTATTTCAACACTTGCAGTATGATTGTCAGTGTAAAAAATAAATGTGAAAGGAAGTAACCTATAATGATAATACAAGTAGATCCTCGTTACTTTTATAACATATCAGCGGCAGGATGCTATCTCTGCTTCCCTTTAAATATATAGGGCACCTATTTAACATGAATAATGAGTATCAATCATTTAACATGAAATAATGAGTACCAACTATTTTTATTAATATTTTCATATTTCTTATTTTAGATGGGGATTTAATTTTTTATGTTAAATTTAAATTTTTGACCATATTTCTTATGTGATAAGGGGGACGATTGCTAGACCCATTGAGTATTGTGGACTATCTCAATTGAAAGGTGAAATTTAAAGCCATAAAGCCTTGTTATAAATGGCTTATCTTCAATGGCTCAATATTTAAATTTTTTAAAAGTAACAAACTCACCGTTTACCTGGTGGTAAGTGGCTACTATAGTCCGTAGACATCTGCAGCCGACTTCAAACAAGGAAGGCTAACATGCCACCTCTAGTCTAAAAGCTAGAAATATTTTCATAGAGACAGATTCTTTAAATTTTTGTCCATATTTCGTATGTTATATAGGGGGATGTTCCCAGACCCATTGATCATTGTTGTCTGTCAGAATTTTTAAAAGAAAATATTGAAATTAGCAAAGCCTTGCGCTTGCCTTTGCTTAGTAGGAACACTACGAATAATAAAATTGAAATTATATTCTTATTATATATATGCATAAATATTAGTGTGTTTATATTATCCAATTGTTAAGAATCTAAGAATTAATCTTAAAATAATCAATAATTCATACAAACATTTTTAACATATTTATAATAATATAAATTTATTGTAATTTGCCATATTGTTAAGAATCTAAGAATTAATCTTTAAATATATTTTATAACAGATAATAACTGCAGAATAAGAAATAATTCTATACAATAAGAAACTTGATGCTGAAGTGCTTTCTAACTATATTTATAAGACTGCAGAATAAAATATATTGAAATATCATTGGAGGTCCATCCATCTATCCCGGAAATCTGGGATTAATTTGCCTATTGCAAAAATACATTTACAGGCTGTAATAGCCATTCTGTTGCAACATTATCATCATCTAATGATGAATTATAAAGGGCCGTAATCGGCCTTTCATAATTCCACTGCTGAACATTGGCCTCCCCCAAGGAATGCCACAAAGCACGGTCCTGAGCCACCTGCATTCTTCGATCTCCTGCATGTATAATAAATTTATAAACCAGAATAAACGACAGCATGTGAGTAGCATGACCTTGACTTGTAGGCAATGAAGTCTAACTAAATTATTAGAAAATTGTAATATTTCTGATATTTATATGGATATTACTTACTAGCGATCTGCCCTGGCTTCGCACGGGTGATATTTGGATTATGTTGACGAAGTCTTACGGCAATCTGATGAACGGTATGGCAGTGCATAAAATACGAACAAACAGATATTAAATTTATATATTAGATTAGATACTCGTATATTATTACATTACAAATGTGGATATTCTTAAAGAAAATAACAGAGACGGTACATGATCTTCCGCATCTGGGATCCGCGTAGGTGAGGTAACCAGTTGTGTCAGACCACATGGCAAAGCAAAGTCTTAAACAGATACCTGCATGATCGGTTAAACGAGAACCAAGCCATTCAGCTTGGTGGGCGTTAAAATCACCAAATATACTTTCAAGGCTACCGAGGCGTCGAAAACAGATGTCCTCTCTGATGTACACGCAAACTCCAGCCAAAAAACAAAAGAGTATTCTAATTTGTACACCCGGTAGGAGGGATACGAAGTATCAGCCAGAGAGGACTCCTGTGTCTAGGTTATAAAGAGCAAGGCCGGCTTCGCGGTCTCGAGTTGGTAGTGGTCGGCGTTAAGGTTTGAATGAAGTCCTCTTATGTTGCAGAAATTCACGGATAGCGTAGCAGGGGACGCCTTTGTCTCATTGCTCCGTTTGCCCCGAACAGGTTAAGTCTCGAATCTCGGAATCCCCCCCCTTACTCCCTCCGAGAATACCCGGAGGGAGTGAGGGGGAACTACTCAGGAAGAGCTTGGGCGTGGATGCTCAGTGAGGGATTCT